AGATGTTGTGATGGGGAGAATAGGGATAAGAAAGGGGCGATATAAGCGTGTAGCAAAATCTGCACGCTTCTGGCTTGTGGTCAACAGGTGGGCCAAATCTCACAGAACACCAGCCAAAGAGGAAGACTTTAGCCAAGATCTGTCTGGCAGACAAAGAAGGGGATTTCAGGACCAAATCCAGCGGATCAATACAAAATGCCTGCTAATTAGCCCCTCCAGAAAAGGGGGTGGGGGGATGAGAGTGAGACAGACAAGGGAAAAGAAAAACATCAGATCAGCTAGTGCTGATTCAGAAGTCTAGACGGATAAGGAAAATCCCCAGACAGGCGTACTGCTGTGGAAATCAGGTGAGGCACACTAGGTGACGGATCACCTCGCTCTTTGGATCAAGCCAAGGTTGCCAGGAATCAGGCTGGCCCTCCCTCCCTCCCTCCCTCCATCACTCTCTTCCTCAGTCAGAGGCAACCTCCCAGGCTACAGCGATCAGTTTCTCTGACCCCAATCCTTCCTCCTTCTCCTCCTCCTCCTCCTCCCACCTTTTCCCTGCCCCTCCTCCTTCCTTCCTCTGGACATCACCGCTTTGACCTAAATCCCATTATTTAATCTTCATCTTCTTCTCCTCGTCTTTTGGATAACAATCAACCCCCTAATTGTCTTAATCTCACTGGTCTTTTATTGTCCCCGGGGCGTCAAGCGTACTGCAGAACAAAAACATTAACTACAGATCAATACTTGGCATCAGGCCGCAACTTCCACCGCCGTCTTTATTGATTTTTTTCTTCTCACTAATTTAAGATTAGGCTGCACTGTTTATGGATTTAATTAAAACATAGAGGAGGTAGGGCATTTCAATTTTAATAGAGAAAATATTCTTTGTCTCATATATCTCAATATCATATTTCCCTGAAAGGATCTGATATCATTCAGTGTTCCATGGAGAGCAAAGTTTAATAAAGAGATGAATCGCAGTAAGACCTGAGGTGAAGGACAATATATTTCAAATTTTGGAAATATGAAGCTGATATCCACATTTTGTGCATCTGGGGATTAAATCCAGCTTGAAAGCAGCAGCACAAGCCAGCAATTGTAAACACCTTCAAATCTTCCCCAAGCTCTTTTGTTATGCTCTCTAAATAAAACAAATCTGAACATTGTCAATTTCTAAAATGAGAAGCTTATGGAATAGCACTCTCAGTTATATTACAACAAGGCTTTGGGCCCTGAGCCAAAGATATTAGCTTCAGAGCAGCGGTAAGCTCAGGATCAAGCGAAGGTTAGGCGATGATTTGTGTGTGATTTTGAAATGACAACCGGGATGATAATCATAATATTCAGAATAATAACGGATTATCTGTTTCAGTGGCTACACTCTGCACCATCTGTGAAGGAGTGGGCCAGGGGGTGATTCAATGTGTGCACTTGTGTGCACACATATATTTTTTGTAATATGCATATGTGTGTAATTTTGGGTCCATTACAGTATTTCAAGATGTTGTGTCCACTGAATAAGAATTCTCCTTTTTCTTTTACCCTCATGTATTTTCAACTCACTCCTTGGCACATAGTTTTTATTGTTTAGTTTTTTTAATGTAGCCTCTAATAACACACCTTTATTAACACAGTTTTGTCATCGCCATCCTTGTTTCCCATCTTACAACATCAACAGCTCAGCCCCTCCCTCCGCCTCTCCTCTGCCCCTCTCTCTCAGTGGGGGAGTCTGGAGCTGCGTAACAGTCAGATGACATGGTCTGACTCGGCTCTGCTGTAATCTGACATGGCTAATCTAATCTCTCTGTCTTCGCAGATTGGCAAACTACCTGGGTCTTTCCAGCCAATTATGGCCCATCTGCACAGCATGCCGTGCAGGTCAAAGCCAGCCACCGCGGAGGCCCGGCAAGCCAAGACGGGCCGCTGCAGGGCTCAGGCTGTCTAGGGCCCAATATAGCTGCTTCCATAACAGCCCATCTGCACGTGGCTTGGCCTGGTCCACTTTCATCCCCTGTGGCCCAAAAGATTAGGGATCCTCCCCTAACTTAACTGCTAATTAAAGCACTTGTTGCCATACAGTTGTAAGGCAATTACCAAAGCAATGTTTCGTGGCTAAATGGGCTACTTTGGCACCAAATGTCTCCTTATCAATATTGCTTCTACCGGTTCCTTTTCTACAAAGTAAGATAACATGGCATTTCACAACATGAACTTTTAGCATTTACATTTTTAGATGTAGTCCAGAAAAAAACATATAGCAGTACAGGTTCTTCAAACACCCTCAGACGGTCAGAAATAAGTAACAAGCTTTAAACTCATATATGCAAATTTGATCACAATCTATCATAATATGAATTAGGTGTGGCTATTATAAGTATATTTTCATAATATTTGTATTCAACATTTTAAAGTCTATGACCTATTGAGCATGTAACATGCATTATCTTATTCTTTAGGACTAATAAAGATGCTTCTTTGCTTTTTTTATTTGTAAATAAAGTAGAAATAATGTGATCTAATAATTATTTAGATTTTTTACTTATAAAATAAATTGTATTGTCCGTGCATAAGTTGTAGATGTACTCGTTATTTTATATGCCGTCTGTCTGACGAGACGGAGAGGTAAATACACCGACACAAGGTCAGAGGCCTTCTAACAGCTTATTTTCTCATCAAGCCAGTCTCACTTAATCACCTTAGCTAAATTAGTTTGAAATTAGCCCTCTTTCTAACTCCCTGCCCTCCATCTTTCCCCTCCTTTCCACCCCAGTCATTTTTACAGCTTTATGGATTAGACAGATTACTCGTCTGAAACTCTGTTTTTGTTCTTTCTCTCTGTTTCAGTCCCCGTCTTTCCATCTCGAGGGGTGTTAAGCTAGGATGGAAATTGTCTCAACTTGTTGTTTTGCCTTGAAACCTGTTACAGATGAGTTTATAACACATAACACGTGTCTCTTTGTGGTCCTTTTGTGTCTGTTTGTAGTTGTTTTGTGTCACTCACTGAAATTGTATTGGACTTTTTGGTTTGAGTGTCTTTGTGGTCATTTAGTGTCTCTTTGTAGTTTGTTTGCGTTTCTTTGTAGTTGCTTTGTCTCTCTTTGAAGTCATCTTGTGTCTCTTTGTGGTTGTTTTGCCCCTCTTTATAGTCATCGCAAGTTTCTTTGTGGTCTTGTTGTGTCTCATTGAGTTGTTTTATGTTTCTTTGTGGTCATGTAAGTATATTCCTGGTTGTGACATGTCTCTCTGACTGACATTTGGCAAAGCCCAGGGGGTCCCCCCCCCCCGTGCTGGGCCTGTGCCCGGTGGTGCCCTCTGGAATGACATGGGTTCATGTTTATATTGTGAGACAAAGCTGCCACTATTTACCTCTACTGGGAAAGCAGATATGGAATAAGTGAAGCTCAACTGTGTAGATACAGAACCTTTCAACTGGTTTGGGAATTATTTTCAGTGGTTTGACATTTAGGAGTGGCAAAGTGACAGACTCATCCGTACAACAACTAAATAACATGGAAATGCCATCAAGTGCTTCTTTGGCTTGGCAATGAAATGTGTGGATGTTCCCCAACACAGGAACACATATGATTGTGGTTTTCAGGTTGTATGTGTTATTTTGTGTTCTATTGCCAGTTAATCCAGGTGTCACAAGGACCTTAGTTTTGTTGTCAGATGACTACTCTATGAATATTGATTTGATTTGTCATCAGAAATACTACTACCTTCCTGAAAGAAAAAAAGAAAGAAGTAGGGAAAAAAGAGAAAGACAGATGAGTAATCATCACATTATTTTTAATCACTCTACATGTTAATCACAGGTTGAAGTCATAATTAATCGGAAACACCTTTTACCAGGAAAACACATGACGTGTTCACTCTATCAAAGGAATAATGACAAAGCCTTTTTGTGAAAGCTCTAGAACTGCAATAGTTGTTTAGTCGGTCGTCTGGAAATAATCAACTCTTTTGACAATCAATAAATCATTGAAGTGAAATGTGAAGAAAGAGTGCCAAACATTTGGGAGCAGCTTCTCAAATGTGACGATGTGCTGCTTTTCTGTGATTTCCGTCCATGTAAATTAAATATCTTAAGGTTCCAGACTGATGGTTGGACAAAGCAAGACATTTAAAAACGTCATCTTCGTATCTGGAAAATTGTGATGGCCATTTTTCCCTTTTTTTTTGAACATTTTCTAGATGAATTAAACAATCAGTAGAACATAGGTGCAGCCTAGACAACTTGCCAGGTTTTGAGAGACACTGGTTTACCAAATGTTTTCTGATGACTGGATGTCAGTAAGTAGGTTCTCTCATCTTACTTAGATCCAACAGGCTCAAAGTGATTATGCCTTGTCACCACAAGCCTGTAGTTTCTTTTGTTATAAATGTACAACTTCCTCTTGCTCACGCTCTGTCACCAGTGCTTGCATACAGACCTGTTTGCAAACACGTCCCCTTTTCTTCGTTCAGTTTAGACTCAGTGGATTTTAGTCAGTTTAGTGTAGATTGAGGCGTTTCTGCTGTGCCTTTTCTACATTAAAAAAAAAAGTTTTAGCAGTTCTACTTTTTTGGACACAAATTATATGGCTTGTGCATCCCCAAACGAAAACGAACTATTTTCCATATTATTATTTTTTTGGGGGTGGGGGATGTTATAAATTGCGCAAATGATCCTCTAAATAACAAATGCACGCGTGCGTAGGTACTACGGCTGTGCCGATATGCCGGGATTTGTCTCGGATGACACATCATTTCCTGTTTGAAGAGCAAGCGCAAGCGGGTTGTACAAACGCGTGTGTGGGTTGAGTGAGAAAAGAATTCTTTCACTTTCACTTCAAGGCGCCATTGAGTCGGTGGTGACGCTGCATTGAGAACAATTAAAAACAACACAAACAAACAAAGTAGCAACAGAAAATCAACTCAGGGAGACAGAGGAGCACATTAGGAAGATGGCGTTTGAGTACCCGGCTGCACGAAGAGATGAGAGTAAGGTCAGTGTCGAAGTCCTGCTGCTTTCTCTCTCTCTCTCTCTCTCTCTCTGTTCGTTTTTCCGTGAAATGATCTGGTGGAAGCACGCGAGCAAGAAAAGCGAGACCAGGAAGCGGCAGACACAGGGCTGAGGGTTAGAAAGGCCAATGGCGACTGACCGAGAGAGAACCAAAAACAAAACTTTGAGAAGTACCGTTAACTGTTTACTTTTGCCTCCTCGTGACAAATGAGTCAACCGTCCTAACATTAGCGCCCCACGAGACAATATCCCAGCGGACAAATGTGGTCATAATGCGAATACAAGACGGAGCTTCATTGAGGTGTGTCGCAGTTAAAGTAGTATATTGCTGTAGGCTTCCTAACAACTACTCTTCTCTGATAATGCACTTTTACTTTGTATGCAGGGCTGTAGTCAGGACTTTGCCGAGTCACTGTTTCCAAACATCCCCAGCCACGTAAAAACATTTTGATAAGGCCCCAAATAACAAAACGACAACATCCCCCTCTGCACCTGATTTACTTCTTTTTTCATTCTACTGATTAGCTTGGTTTTCTGAATTTGTATTATCTACCAACAGGCTGGTTTAAAGGCTGTTTCAAAGAATGAATTACTGGTCTAAATATCTTTAATATGAATTGAATTCTGTAAAGATATTTAATTTGCTACCAAACACAACTAAGAACACCAGGGAAACAAAGATGTTAGGCTCTTAAAAATTGCAGGAAAACAATTATAAAAAGTTGTTGCTTCTGTCAAAAATATTTTCAGCTCTAATTGAATGAATAAATGACTGATTATTGATATTTTTAATTTTTTTTTGCCTGTAATGGTTAATGCAAGAAACGGATCCTTTTCAAACCCACCATACTGTAAGTCACCTCACTTCTGTGTAATCATAGAACGTACACTCCCCTTAAGGTGATGACTCCAGTGTCCTCAATGGTAAGTATGGCCCTGGATGTATATATACGTTTTTATCTTATCTGACTGAAACCTGCCCCTTTGCCACAACATTTTATTGGGTGGGCGTTCAGAGTACACCATTGTTGAACAGCCCTAAGCCGACAAGCCACAATATCGATGAGACGGTTGACGGAAGTACGCATGCTGAGGATTCAACACAGCTGTTTTGTGTGCGCTTGTTCTTGTCTAACTTGTAGGTGGATGACCACCATGGAACTAAGATCTGCGATCCCTACACATGGCTGGAAGACCCGGATAGTGCAGAAACAATGGTATGTATTGATCTCTTGCAGAAAGCTGAAGCTGTGTTTTTACCAAAATCTCTGCAAATCCCGTCGCTCCTCTCTCTCCTTTTGCATCTCAGGCCTTTGTTGAGGAGCAGAACAACCTGACCATGCCGTACCTGGAGCGGTGTGCTGTCCGGGCTCAGTTCCACCAGCGCCTCACCGAGCTCTACGACTATCCCAAATACAGCTGCCCTTACAAAAGAGGGAAGAGGTACTAGTTGAAATTGAAAGAATGGACACTGCACGGACTGAAAAACACTTATGAGAGGGACTAACTTGAATTTGAAAAAGAAAAGAAAAGAAACTATACTTGTCATGTTATTTCCAGGTACTTCTACTTCCACAACAAAGGTCTCCAGAACCAGGATGTGCTGTATGTGCAGGACTCTCTGGATGGAGCTGCCACTGTATTCTTTGACCCCAATAAACTCTCTGAAGATGGCACTGTGGCACTGAAGAGTGAGTCAAACCACAGAGCACACGTGCTGCACTTTATTGTGCACGGACGCAAAGAGTAAAGATGTTCAGTGCTGAATCCCGCCTCCTCCTCTTTGTCCCTCTCTCTTCACCCAGTGGGCCGTCTGTCAGAGGAGTGTGAATATTTTGCGTATGGTTTGAGCAGCAGTGGTTCAGACTGGGTGACGGTGAGTTTCATGAAGGCGGACGATCTCACTCTGCTGCCCGATGTACTGGAGAGGGTTAAATTCAGCTGCTTGGCCTGGACTCACGATGCCAAGGGCATCTTTTACAACTGCTACTTACGCCAGGAAGGCAAAACTGACGGTTAGGAAGATTCACCGTACTCTCAAACGCATGCTCCATCCAGGAGACAACACCTTTGCTACAAGCCTATTACAAATGCATTCAAGACTTAACCCCTCCTTGTTTTTTCCCCCCACTAAAGGCACAGAGACCACCTGCAACATCAATCAGAAGCTCTTCTACCACGTCATCGGCACCAAGCAGTCGGAGGACATTCTGGTTGCAGAGTTCCCCGAATATCCCAAGTGGCACAGCTCAGTAACCGTAAGTCCATAGTAATCTTGAATCACTCATTATAATCACCCGTTTGTAATCAGGGCGGTGATGGATAAGGTTTTCAGATCATTTACTTAAGTATAACTACTAATACTACAGTGGTGCTTTCAAATATAATCAAAATAACTTCATTTATCCGATAGGAACTGCATATAAAACCGTCAAAGACGACAAAGAGTAGACAACACACAAGTGCAGCTTAAAACCGTTTATGATGTCCACTAGTAGGGCAAATTCTGTATAAATGAATAATTAATAGGATCAAGCACACGAGTTAACTCAGGCATTAATGAGTGAGACGGAAGCTATTTGTAGTCCTTTCATCTGCTGTAGATGCTACTTAGTGGTTCTTGGTTACTGTAATGGTGACCTTCTAGATCTGACAGTGGATCAGATCGCTGCAGCTGATTCAGAATGACATCTTTACACTTCCTAAAAGAGGGTGTATCCAATGTCTCTTTTTGTTTTCATTCAAAGCCTCTTTTGAAGTTTTTGAATGAAGCTTTGAATGTCTGCCATCACATTTTATCACCATAGAAAAGAAAGAAAATGAAGTGATTCATCGTCTTTTTCTTATAACATCAACTTTTTTTAATGAATATAACTCGTCAAATACGGACTGAAGCAGAATGTATCGTTAGACATTTATCTTAAATACATTTTGACTTTTGGACTTTACAAAGCTCTGGAGTTATTTCAAATGTTTGACTCACACAAGTCTTAAATCTTACCCAGCCATAACTGGAATCTGATTCTATAAATAGTATAATACGAATGATGTTAGTGTTGATGTTAGTGTTGCCCACTGTCTATTTATCTGCAACCGTGCAGAAATACTGCCTTTTGAACAAAAGAATTCCATCTGCACTTAAACAATTAGTCACTTTTGCGCGTGTGCCATGTCCAGTAATAGTAGCTGTTAAAGTTAAAAGTTGTCATAGCAAAAGACTACATGCCTCTCTTTGTCTTTCTCTGCTTCCTTCTTTCCCGTCTTCATTCCTTCCCTTTTCCCAGATATCGGATGACGGCCGATACGCTGTTCTGTCCATCACTGAAGGCTGTGAACCTGTCAACCAGCTGTGGTACTGTGACCTTCAGCAACTCCCCGATGGCATCGCAGGTCTGTGAACTTGTGACGCACTCCCAACTGACAACAATTCACGTTATTTTCTAAGTGGGATCACAGCTGCAAGTTATCCTTACGTCTGCTTTGGCATGATTGTGACTTCTGTCTACACATATGATATAGTAAAATGCCCCATCCATTTACCCCAGCAATCCCCTCCCTGCTCACAAAAACAAAATATGGTTGTGACTCTTAAATTGATTTTAAGTTGATGTAAGCTGTCAACCAGGTCGTCAAAGTCCCCAAGTATTGATGAATATCGATCCCCAAATTAAGATATCTTTGTAGAATAAAGCATTTTGTGAGAAGTAAATGTTTCTGGAAAAAGGCATCATTATCAGAAGTATCTATTTATTTTAAAGGGCCTTCTTTTTTTATTAATCTGCCAGTAAAATGTTTTGTCCAAAACCCAAAGTTATTCACTTCAACAATAATATATGGGAAATAAATAAATACAGCAAAACCTCTTCCACATCTAAGATGTTGAGATTTCGAAATTCACTTTGCAAAATGATTTCTGGTTTAAAAGACGATCTCCCACACGCAAAGCAATGTGGACACTTTCTAGTCTTTACACGCCATCATAATTCAGATGGACAGGTGTGGGTTTTGGCTTTGCTAGAGGTTTAGATAACTGCAACTCATACCGGTCAAAGATAATAATGACAGGAACATCATGCATCTTTTATAATGGAGTTTTTGTTGTTGTTATTTTATTCATCTTCTGCTCCAGGTCTGCTGCCATGGGTCAAAGTTGTAGACAACTTTGAAGCCCAATACTCGTACGTCACCAATGAGGGATCCGTGTTCACGTTCCGCTCCAACTTGGATGCTCCTCGGTACTGTCTCCTGAACATAGACGTCCAGAAACCAGACGGGCAGCACTGGACTACCCTCATTCCACAGCATGACAAGGATGTCCTGGGTGAGAGTGAAAGGAAACCTCCGTAGAATATGCTGTAGTGTAGACGACGTACGTCTTGAAGTCCAAACAGCAGTTTGGCGATTTTGTAAAACAGACCTTCGTTGGCACGACAGCTGTGGACTTGTGTTAGAACTTCTGGAAAAAAAATCTTGCAAAATAGTTTTTCACAGAAGATCTGTCCTAATGTGATGACAGTCCAACCACAACAACTGAGAAGTTCTGTGTCTGTGGTCAGAGACTGTCGTCAAAGGGATGTCTGCTCAAAAAGTGAAACTGGGCTTATATGTCTTTGTCGTCATTTTTTATTATTATTATGACTCATTTGAATGATGATAATGTTACCAAGACATCACTGAAACGGCAGTAAATGTCCAAGTTTCCGCTAAAAAATGTGCTACACACACCATCAGAAATAACAAAAGGTACAAACTATGTTAAGGAAGATCATTTGAACATTTGGGCAACACTCTATTTTAAGTCCCCCTACTTATGATTTATAAACAGTGTTTAAACATTCAGTAGATGTTTTATAGCACACTATAATAAGTAAGCAGACACGGCAATGACTTCATCTGCGCCACCAGTAAGTGTGGGCTGGTGTATAAACAGATACTGAATGGCACTTCTGTAACAATGTAAGATAGGTCTACATAGTATAATTTATAACTGCTGACGATCATTGTACTTTAATAAGCACTTAAAATGACCTACTAGCTACTTCATCATGTGCTATAAAGCATTCATTGAATTGAATGTTTGGATACTCTCTAAATGTGGTTAAGTGTAGCAGTAAAGTGTTGCATGTTAAGTGAATGATGGTGATATCAGTGATATGCAAGTTAATGATCTTTTTTATCAAATTTCACTTTTTGACCAAGTTTTTAAATGAATAGGAATTGAATTATGTTAATATTCATATACAATCAATATTAATGTATAACATTTTGAAAAGTAGTAGTCCATTTACTGTTGTTTTTACAGCATGCATGTAAGCCACAGTAGGGAGTTGACAGTTGCGTCTGATAACATGTCCAGGCGATGGTGCGTTGAGAGTTTTGTCATCGCTGCCTTTCTGAACTGACAAAAGGGCTTTGTCTCCTCTGTCATAATATTGTCTTGGGCTCAGCTCCTATACTAGCCTTTTAACTGATCTAAAGTACGAAGTCACTGATTCATCAGTTCACTCTTCATTGTCCTCGTCTTGACACTGACGACTCTCAAAGGCAAAAGGCCATATATGGATGTGTGCTTGCTGTGTGTACTAAACATGGTAACCGAGAGGAGCTTGACGGCATGTGTAGCCCCACTGACTCCTACCGACCAGTATGGCCTGACTTGAGCAGTATGGCCTGACTTGAGCAGTATGGCCTGACTTGAGCAGTATGGCCTGCATTTATTGTGTCTTAAGACTGCCTCCTGCTGGCAGTCGATGAGATTTCATCACAGTCCACAGTCCATACCTGTATTAACTCTTTGCTCTACCTGTGCAGTAACATCTGAATTAACTGAACTAATCAATTTGGTCATATTCAATGCATAGCCATTATATTTGGCTTCATCCCAGGATCATGAGAGTACTTCTTATTTTCGAGATATATCGGGATAATTAGCAGAGAGGAATCGGACATCGGTAGTAACAGAGAAAGGAAAACAGACGACATGTTTCCCTTGGACACGGTGTTTTTAATAACACCAGGCAGCTTTCACATGTTATGTTCACTTTCTATCACTTCCTTTTTCATAATCCTTCTGCAGGCTTTGTCTCCTGTGTGAACCAGCACCACCTGGTGGTCAACTATCTGCATGACGTGAAGGACATCCTGCAGCTGTGTGAGCTGTCCACCGGCCTGGTGGTCAGGGACCTGCCGCTGGACGTCGGCTCAGTGGCCGGAGTGAGCTGCAAGAAGAACCACTCTGACTTCTTCTACAAGTTCACCTCCTTCACTACACCTGGTGACTCCTCTCTTTCCTTTCATTCCATGAATTGTATTTTAGTTGTCTTCTATTAACAAAATGAGAGAATAAAAAAGTAGCGAGAAAGCTACGAATCCCACAACAGAACTGCAAAAACAATTACCATCAGTGCATACAAATAATTAGGGCGGCACTAATTATTTTGATTATTGATAAATAGGCTGGTTCTTGTTTTGATTAGTTAGTTTTTCTACAAAAATGTTGAAAAATGGCCATGGGGCCTATTTTCAAATTTGTCGTTTTCTCCATCAAGCAATCGAAAATCCAAATAGTATTCAGTCTGCTAACATGTAAAATAAAGAATATTTGGAAAATTCTCACATTTGAGAAGCGGGAACCAGGGAATATTTTGCATTTCTGCTTGACAAACAGTTTTATTGTTTTCATCAAATGATCTCACTGCATACGAACTATCGGTTATTGAAATATCCCTATTCACACACGGTAACCTCTAACCTGTGTGACCGTTGTTCCGTGGTGGCCAGGTATCATTTACCATTGTGATTTGAGCAAGTCCAACCCAGAGCCCAGCGTGTTCAGGGAGGTGGAGGTGAAGGGCATCAAGCAAGAGGACTACGAGACCAGCCAGGTGACGCCCTGCTGTTTTATCTCTTCTACTTCCCCGTTACCCTCTATGTTGTTTTGTTTCCCGTCATCTTACAGGTTATTCTTGTTCATGTTGCTTCACTGCATCTACTGCATATTCATATCATGATTCAGATTTCCCAGAATCCTATTCACTGTGGTTGAGGAAGTGGTAAATGTTTTTTGTGCACAGCTCATCTTAGACTTAATTTGTATGAACTCTGTAATTTTATAACACTGACGTCAATTATGTTTAAAAAAAATATATATATATATATATTAATTAATATTTATTTGCATTTACAGGTATTTTATCCCAGTAAAGATGGAACCGAGATCCCCATGTTCTTAGTTCACGCCAAGGGCCTAAAGAAGGATGCCACTCGTCCCGTCTTTCTTTATGGCTACGGGGGCTTTGAGGTTTCCATCCAACCGTACTACAAGTAAGTACAACGGGACCACTCTCTTCTGTTTTTCACTGACACAGATGAACACTAATCCGTTCCAAAATACCTCAAGTGTGGTGGGGTGGGGGGGTGTGTAACGGAGTAGAGGGTATACCAACTGTCTATAAAACAGAGCTGCCATGTTGGCTCTGCACAACCCTCCTCTGCTCTTCACCTGATCCTCTCTGCTGGCTTGTCACTTCCATGTTGTGTGTGATGTAGAATCAAACATTGCGATTTTAAAGTCATATTTTAATAGGTTTTACTGTATCCTACTTAAACTACATTTAATATTTTTCATTTATACTGCTATTGTAACATTGATTGTACTTTGATGGCTGTATTTCCTCTGTCTGTCTGTCCTGTCTGTGCTCAGTGTTGCTTACCTGCTGTATGTGAGACACCTGGGAGGCATCCTGGCAGTGGCCAACATCAGAGGGGGAGGAGAGTACGGCCTCACCTGGTACAAAGGTACAGACAACCAAGGAATAAAGCCATCCCTACCTTGAACAGGCTGTGTGAAGGGGGCAGTAGCCGGTGTTTATTAATAAAAATAATTAAAGCTCTTCTAAAGTCTAATTCTGTGTTCGCTGAACTTCTGCTGATTATTGTGTTTGTGCAGCTGGTACATTGGGGAACAAGCAGAATTGCTTCGATGACTTCCAGTGTGCAGCAGAGTATCTGGTCCAGGAGAAGTACACCACAGCCAGCCGCATCGCTATCAACGGAGCCTCTAATGGAGGACTGCTCGTGGGTGAGTACAGGACCAGCTGTGTGCCTCATGTGTTTGTGTATTTAGTGTGAAAGCCGGAGATGGAGAACAAGTAAAAGGGTTTTAAGGGTACATCCTGGAAACTATTATGCATCCGCTGTACATCATGTGTGACATTTAGGGGTTGGAATTTTGAAAGTGGGGAAATCTTGCTTTTTATGTTGTAAGTCTGCTCTTTTGATTTACAGAATATGATTTCAGAGGGCAACATCAAATGTTCAGACAAAGGCTGTGATATGTGTAAATGATAAAATAATTATTCAACAATAGCATGTGTTGTCTTTAAGCTTTTTGGGTGTTATCTATGGTGATGCTCCAAAAATGTTTCTAAGTCCAAAAAACTTTTCTTGAGGGAGAGTTATCCTCCACAAACATAAAAAAAGCTTAATAATGAGCTAGAGAGGCAGAATGATTGCTTATTGCAAGATCCACCAGTTAAATAAGCAAAAAGTAATATAATATATGAGTGCGTCTATGGTCAGGTCGTGGTGGTGCTTTGTGTGTGCCGAGGGGTGGATGCTGCGTATATTGTTCTGCTTGTTGTCCCTTTGCCTTTCACATTCCTTCTCAATGGAGCTTTATTTCTACTTCCCCCTCATGTTAACAGCTCACGTCCCACATCCTATACACCTTCAAGGCTACTAACAACACTGCTACTGTACATGTCCATGTTTTTACAGTTTTATGAAAGCAAACTAAGAGCCAGCTGAGATCACTGGCCCATTGCAAGTCTCCGCTGCATTGATCACAATGCGTGCTTTCTATTACATCTTTGGCATAATTAATAATGTAAAATGAATTCACCAGTAGTTAGCTGCTTAGCTTCAATTCATCTCGCTATTAAACAGCACATTAAACAGAGCTTTGTCACATCATTTACCAAAAGGCTGGCTGCCATATGGCGTCGCACAAACCCAACTAATGACTTCTCCCCTGGTGTGTAAGTGGCGATGTAGGAGTGATCGTGTCCTACCGTGTGACGCAAAGGGGATGCGTGTGAATTTGAAAAGCAAAATGCAATGTTTTACGCAAATTTTAAATACACACACACAGCGGCATGCGTGAACCAGCGTCCAGAACTGTTCGGCTGTGCTGTGGCAGAGGTGGGGGTGATGGATATGCTGAAGTTCCACGAATTCACCATCGGCCACGCCTGGACCACCGACTACGGCTGTTCAGACGACCCGGAGCAGTTCAAGTGGCTCATCAAGTACGAAAAAACACAGACGCAAATAAATCACTAGAACATACTGCTGCATGAGAACACGTTCCTCCGGGATCCTTCGGTCACTGCGCATGTACTAAATGTTAATAATTATACAACCGAAGTTCCGGAGCCCAAAATATGGTCTTCGGAACAGGCCTAATAATGTAAAACCTACCCACATAAGTAATAAAATAGCAGCAAAGCATCTGATTCACACATTACAGCTCACAAATCACTCCCATATTCTCTCTTCTCTCGGATTCCCTTCCAGTTATCCTCCCAACCTGTCTTCCTCGCCCTCTCTCCAGGTATTCCCCTCTCCATAATCTGCCACAGTCGCCTTACTCTGGCCCTCCCTACCCTGCCATCCTGCTCTTAACAGCAGATCACGATGACCGCGTGGTGCCTCTCCACACCCTGAAGTACTGTGCGGCCTTGCAGTGCGGAGTGGGCAGCAGCCCTGTGCAGCGTCAGCCTCTGATGGTCAGGGTAGACACCCGGAGTGGGCACGGTGCCGGGAAGCCCACCACCAAGGCCATCTTGGAGGAGGCGCACATCTTTTCCTTCATCGCTGAGACACTTGGGCTGAGCTGGATCGATTGAAGAGATGATGACGATGACTCACAATGAGGTGGGGCTTTTTAAAGGATGAATGATTTACTGTCTTATTTTTGTGGAAACATGCTTTTAATATTTAGTGAAAGACTGAGGAATGCATTGGTACAACTAAAGTAAATGGTTGGAGAAAGATGTAAGAACAACAACAGATGAATTAATATCACTGGAAAAATAACTACCAACTACTGAGATACTAACTATAATGCCTCTATTGAAACAACTCTTGTAGATCTGATTTGTTCAGCATCATTGGTGGAAGAAGTATTGAATAAAGTAAATGAAGCACTATCTCAACATCAAAATGTTTTTGTTTTTTTCCAATATAACATAAAGGATTGACTTACGAAAAAGGACAAAGGTTCATCAAAAGTTACTTTTAAGTATCAAAAGGTGCCGTGGTGACATCGGGGTTTTGGGTGCAGTCTATCCACTGCTACATCCCCTGTTTATTGCATGACGTTCTCCACTTCAGTCAACTATCAAATGAAGGCGTAAAATGCCAAAAAATATATAACTAACTAAAATGGCCATTTTCCCCGAGTGTTACGTTGTATATTTGATTACATTGTTAGTGCTGAATTTGATTGTTGCAGCTGATTGAAGTAAAAAAAATAATTAAAACTGCTTTCTTTATTTGCTAGGTGGTTTAATCTCCAGTAAATCTGAAAAGAATTAGACAAGACCACTCTCCACGAGACCCGACTGGCTTTGAACAGATCTTCTTCTGAATGCAGTATATCTTGTTGAGTAAAATATCACCATTAAAAGAACCTGTGACCTGCTCAATAAACTGTTCCTCCACAAAACCCCTTGTGAAAAACAACCAATGATTTGTTGAATAATAATTTGCTTTGTATATGCAATGTCTATCTGTACAGTAACTTTAATTGTCAAATATATTAGGAGTTAAAAGTATAAAACTTCTCTGACATGTAACGCAAGTAGAAGTACCATAAAATTGAAAACCAAAAATCAGGTAAAAGTACATTACTTGAGTGAATTTACTTGCTGCTGTTCAAAACACAAGTCATGTCTGTAGGGTGCAGTTCTCATATAGTTCACCAGGTGGCAGTATGGGACCACACAAAAACTCCCTGTAGGCGTCACTGTGTACCAAACACTTGAAGGTGAGTTTAGTGTCATTCTGCTTGAGGGCTAGATGCACTCTGCTAAGTCCTTCATATGGTCGGTCTTCTGGTGGATTGAGACAAGTAGGAAACGTCCGCATGAAACGACAGTAGTAGGACACACAAGAATGAGCGCTTGTATAAAGGGGTGGACCGGGGAGACGGAGAGAAGGATGGGTGGAAATCCTTTAACGTGTGCAGAAAAGCCGAGCGATGGAGAGTGATGACAGACGGCAGATATATGGCGAGACAGTGAGAAGCAACAAGCGGAGAGAGACTGAAAGTGCACTTATGGAGAGTCTCGGGACAGACGGGTGTTTAAACTGTCAAAAAAAAAAAAAAAAAGATGGAAACACTCTGCCGGCCAATCACAGACGGTGAGGGAAGTTGTCCATTCGGTCACTCAGAGTTTAATCTCTGCTCAGTGGAAAGTTGTGATTTGGCCAGACTGAATCCCGGGCTTTATCTAAGTACCCTCTCAGTGGATAGATAGGATGGGAAAAGGAGAGAGGGAAAGCAGAGAAGGCGGCAGGAGGATTTGCAGACAATGACTCTTTGCCACTTGGGCAAAGTGGTTGAATGAAGCCGGGAAAGACAAAGCCAGTAATAAGCTGGACATATGAGACACGGAGAGAGAGGTTTAAGACCATGCAGGAACAAAAAAAAAAAAAGACTGGCGCTCTGCTCCCAGGAGTGTCCCAGAGGATTGAGCCGGCTTTTGCTGCTTCATTTCCTTCATTCACATCACTCCCCCCCTCCACCTCCCCGTTTACACATGTTACAAGCACATGCAACGTTCACAGCTCTTTTTCTCTGGAGGAACACAAGCTCTTACCTACAAAAGCCCCACCGTCTCACACGTCCCCATCCTGTCCTCCTGTTTGTTTACTTTACCCCCCCCCCCCCCATAATGCAGGGATTAATTTCCCAAAGCCGATTTGAGCTGCGGCACGCTTCGGCAAAGAGCGGAGAGCAGAACTTTTGTGCTGAGGGGAAGTTTCCCCTTCACACTAGCTTAGAGGTGGACTGCTCTCCCCTTTATGCCGCTCGCTTTAATCTTCACACGGAGCAGAGGGAGCGAGGGATAGGGGGAGGACAAGAAGGGGAGAGGGCTCTCAACACACAGCTGGGAATCACTAATGTTGTTACAGAGGTGTCGTCTGCTTTCCCATGTTCCTCTTTGAATCCTTCAGCTTCTTCCTGTTCCCTCTCTGGCATTTCTTCCACTTACATTTCTGGACTCATTTGTTCTTTGCCTTTCCAACTTAGGTTTCTTTTATTATGAGGTTGTGTCTTATAGAGCTAATGTAGATCAGAGTGGCGGGTTTGTGTAATGCCCAGGGCATTATGTAGCGACTGTGTCAGGAGTTACTGGTTTTACAGTTACCGGTTCCTAGAACCAAAGGTGACGTCTTTAAAAATATTTTTCCAACCAACACTTCAAAATGTAATTGTTTCGATTAAACAAATGGACATTTGGCATTCTTACTTGATAATTGACTCAAATATTTGATGAAAACTGATCAGTCGATCAACAGAAATATTTATCTGTACCAATTTGTCAACTGATCATTTCAGCTCTACCACAATTATTTGGCATTTCTGAAAAATCTGAATTGTCGATTTAATATTTACAATTTATTAATAAACTGTTTCAGCATTAGAGGTCTAGGTTCTTGTTGTAGTATTCAAAAAAAAAAAAAAAAAAAAAAACGTTTTGATTCATGGTTAATATTTAGTTTACATCAACAATACAATATACTTTTCTTTTGTCTAACTGTATATGTCATTATATGCAAGTATTTAACATACACTGTAAGATAAAAGTGTGTGTGTGTGTGTGTGTGTGTGTGTGTGTGAGAGAGACGCCAGGACAGGGCTCCATCCCTTAGTGGAGATGCAGTTTTAGAGGAAATCTACCAGTTATTTGAAGGCCTTAAACACATCTTGAGTGTGGTCTTGATTCTGAAAAAAATATGTTTTTCACGTACAACTATCTATATTTTGTAACACAATTTGCTTTAATCTCTTGGAAGAATCCCTGCCCGTCTCCCTGTCCCAGTCTCATTTACAGTGAATAAATAGGCAAATCTGATTGAAGATTTACACTCAAACCGTGAGAAGCCTGATCAAACACCAACTAAAACAAACGCCCGTCGCCACCGAGAAGAGTTACTGCGGGTTATGTTGTTTGCATACTAAGACGTCACACTTAAACTAATGGCATTTATTATGTTATACCACACGAGAGCAGAATGCAGAAGGCAATTCACTTCATTTGGCATGTGTGCAGCTGCAAGATGGCTCATGACCCCAAAGCAGGCAGGAGTCAAGTGTCGAGGCTATTAAGATATCATGATGTATATTATGTAGATAAGAGCCGATGGCTTTATTTAAGACGAGGTTTTACATTTTATTTCCCAAATAGAATGGCACTGTGCAGCATTGCACTTACTACACTTTTGAATTCGTATCCACGTTTTATTAGTTCTAAATAAATACATAAATGTTCTTTAGAGCCGCACAGTTTCATTCTCATACACATAATCTTGATGAGCCTGACATGTAAGCTTCTTTTGTTTGTTTTTTCCTTCACGTGTCTTGAAAGCATGCAAGAAATTCACGATAAGCTTCCGATAATGAATTATTAAAATCCGGTGTTACTGTAGCAGGAGTTCAACCGCTGCTTAGCCGGTGTCTGCTAAGCAGCATCTGAAATAGGTGATGTTTGCTTGCGTGGGAGCTTTAGAAAGCTGTAGCCAGCGATGGCTCCGAGATGAAACTCATTAAGTCTCGAGCTCCAATCCTCAACTCCAATAAGAATTTAATATAAAAAGTATGGATTACTGCTGCAACTGTATGAGGTAAATAAAAAACCTCATTCTCAAATGCATGCCCATGGACTGTCATTAAACTTGAAGTACATTTGCACACGCATGATATGCACATACACACCTTATTGCGCACACACACACACTGACCTGTGCGAGCAAGCACTGAGGCACATACGGCACACTCGCTTCTACACACCCGCACAGTTGCCCACATCAAACCCACGCTAAGTTAATTTGCATTTACAATAATTTCCCATACGCACAGTGCTAGTCTGAAGGTGGGCGTTTTGTAATAAATCCTGAGTAATATAACCTCGGTCCCAGAGAGAGAAACTTAAGTTCACACGAAGAGAGAGGAAAAACCACAAGCCTCAAAAGTAGGCTAGGAGCGAAAACCAGAAGTTCAATTCTGTTGTAAGAGGAAACATGCATTAACCTTGTACACATAGATAAGTAAGTAGTACAAGATGCCCAGGTAGCCTTAAGGTTAGAGGACTAAGTGAGCTCTAAAGGCCGTCGGTTCATTTCTTTGCGCCAGAGGAGTTTGTTTTCAACCGCATTCACTTAGAATTTAGCTGCTCAATGCATCTACCCTGTTCCCTTTGGCAAGACACTGAAACCCAGAATCTACTGTGAATGTCTCTTTAAGGGAGGCACAAATCTCAGATGGATAGCTCAAAACTTTGCAAACCTGAGCCGGACGGTGCTAACTTTGGCGCTAACCCTCACTTTTATCAGCAGGTGACAAGAAAGACATGGAAAGTTGGCATGGATCTTGAGGAGTTTCATTTATTCACTGACAGCCTAAGTTGTACACACCTTGCACTACTACGTACACAGCAATTAAATTACTCACCCAACATCATACTCACGCGACCGCAAACTGCCGTTTGCTAATGTAGTACAGTAGGTGGGGGAAAAAATCGATACAGCATAGTATCGCGATATTTTGCGTGGCGATATTTTATCGATACACAGACGCCAAGTATCAATCTTTTATTATATAAACTATTCAATAGAAAAATCAAATCAATTACTTTTTCAGTCCACTAGATGGTGCTGAGTTATTTTCTGGTGGGGTCAGCAAAGGTCCCGGGTCAGCGTGATTGGTAGGAAGTTGGTCAAAACAAAGAGACATCTGGCCTCACAACGGGGTTAAATCTGCCAACAGTAGCCAGGCTCATGGGGAGAGTGCAGCGCATAACTGTCTCTCTGCCCTCGACGTCCACGCATCGCAAGTTATACTGAGTTATATAACTCTTATATCCTACTTATATAAGTTATAGTTCATATCCTGAGTCAACATGTTTGCATTCAGTTAGGTTGGACTATGTAGTAATACAAACAGTTCAGTTTGTCAGATTCATGCAACATTTCTGACATTGTTGGTCAGTCTGTCTGCTTGACGATCCTATTTTGCTGCAATAAAAATGATTGAAGTGAGATGAACAGACTGAAAACTTTATCTTATTAGATAAAACATGTTGACACAGTTTTCCTTTGGGGACATAATTTGAAGTTGAAAAAAGTAATAAATCGCAATACTCAGAATATCGCAGTATCGTGATATCGTGACCCAAGTATCGTGATAATATCGTATCACGGGACCTCTGGTGATTCCCACCCCTAACAGTAGGTAAAAAAAAGTTATAGCATATCTCAATAAAGTCATAAAAGAGTAATAGTATATATAGCATGTTGAAAAAAGTCATAGTATAGCATGTTGAAAAAAGTCATAGTATAGCATGTTGAAAAAAGTCATAGTATAGCATGTTGAAAAAAGTCATAGTATAGCATGTTGAAAAAAGTCATAGTATAGCATGT